AGCCTATGAATCTATTTCTTGATGCACTTCTAGCCAAAAAATAAAAAAGGGCACTTATGAAAATTACTTGATCTTGTATGTTGTATGTATAATATATGCACTATAGTATTTTACAATTAATGTAATTTTAAGGTGAACACTTCATTATTATCTCTCCATACCTTTTTATTTTGTGTATGTGTGTTTGTATATTTACATTCATATTTCTACTTGGTAAAATTAGATTCGTAATTTATAATCCACACAAATGAATTAAAGATATGGGGTAATAGGAGCCGGCCCGGTGGCGCAGCAGTTAAGTGTGCACGCTCTGCTGCGGCAGCCTGGGGTTCGCAGGTTCGGATCCTGGGCGCGCACTGACGCACCGCTTACCAAGCCATGCTGCGGCGGCGTCCCATATAAAGTAGAGGAAAACGGGCACAGATGTTAGCCCAGGGCCGATCTTCCTCAATAAAAAAGAGGAGGATTGGCATTGGATGTTAGCTCAGGGCTGATCTTCCTCACACACACACAAAAAAAGATATGGGGTAATAGATTGCATGGTCAAGTTTGTGTCTATGACTGTGTAAAGAAATAAAACATGTGTCTATATACAAAATTTTACTAACATCATCGAAGTAAAATGAAGCAAGAATGTTCAATTCAGCAAATGACCAGGTTTTCCTTCTCTCTCACTCTTGCTCTCACATTCCCTCTCTCTCACTGTTTTTCACTTTTCCTTTTTGGCTTGTTCACATGATGCCTAATCTCCAGTTTGATCCACTTACTGGCCTTTTGGATGGAATACTTTGCTGTCTTATAGATGGTGACAAAATAGATGAGAGAGTGGAGAAAATCATTTGACATATTTTAAAAGTGATAAATATGAAATTAAGTAGATTTTTTAAAGTATTCGTTATTAAGTTCACCAGATTAGTGCAAGTGTCTTCACTTTGCTTTCAGGGTTGGACACTGATCATATTCAAGATGTGTCCTTAACACATTAAGATGTTGTGTATAAGGTTGGGAGTTCTTTGATGATTCAATCTCCAAATAGCATTGAAAACCCCCAAGATCAGACTTTTGATTTGCTTTTTGGGTTTCCCGCTTCTTTTTGGAAGGAGACCCAGAAAGAAGAATGGCTTGTAATGTTCACAATTTAAAATAAAGGTAACTGAAATCCACTGGAAGTTTTCAATTCCAAATCTAAGCCCTTTAGAGCATTCCATAGTCCATTTAGCATAGCTTAATGTCTTAGCACTTGTTCTGTTTCATGCCCAACTCCGGTCACACTGAAATTCTTTCACTTCTCAAATCATGTCAAGCTCTTGCCTACAAATTACTTCCCTCATGCTGTCTAGACCACTCTTCCCACATGTCCTTCTTCCCTTTATGTGGTTAACTCCTACTCATCCTACACACTCTAATTGAGATTTTCTCAGGGAAGTCTAGGCCAGTTAAGTTAGATAACTCCTTGCTATCTGCTTCTGAAGAGCCCTGTATCTCTCATCAACACTTTATTAAAATTACTTGTTTGTTATTTGTTTGATTCACTTTGTATGAGATCCACGAGATAAGAGACTGCAAAGTGGGTAGGACAAGGGAACATGAATTTGAAGAGGAGAATATGGAAATGAAATTCAAGTAGAACTCTGAGAAGAAGAAGAGGCCCCATGTCAAGGCCTGAGAAGAAATATAGGCAGGCAGAAATCACCTCTAGAGAGAAACAATTGATGTTTCTAGTGAATACCAGGGTTGAATTTCCAGTTGGTTCCTGCTTGTGCATCACTCTTAAATCTTTTATTAGTTTCATTATGCTGCACACTTTTGTGTTAATGTGCAGTGGGAATTAGAAAAGAGAACGAGCTTTGCTCCACACCACAGATAACGTTGACCCATAGAGAGAATGGCCGCTGCAGGTACTCAGAATGATTGTAACGAGCTAAATGACATAGGAAAAGTAGGTTGCAATGTGAATTAACTAGTGAGAAAGCAGGAGAGGACTCTCTTCCTCACTCCACATTGCAGAGCTTTAAAAAAAAAAAGTGAACTCAAAATACCCAACGGCACTAGCAAATGAGCTGGGAAGTGGATAAATGTGAATCAAAATTCTAAGACCCTTGTTTTTTGACTAGAAATGTAAAATTAAGCATTGGAAAGTTGTATTTCTTGAAACTGTGGATTGTTATTCTTCATCCTTTCTGGAAAGTTTTCAGCCATTGTCACTGAAAATATTGTCTCCGGCTCTTTCCTCTCTCTTTTGCTTATAAAAATCCAATTAGACATCGATAAGACCTTATCCCTGTGTCCTCCATGTCTTTTAACCTCTTTTTCCAATTTATTTCCTCTTTATCTCTCTGATGTGAATTCAGAAGAAGTTCTCCGGTTTCCTTTCCTAGATGTCCAATTTTCTGTTCAGCTGTGTCTAACCTATTGTAAAACCCATCCACTGAGTTTTTTTAGTTAAATTACTATAATTTTACTTTTAAGAGTTTTGTTTGATTTGTGTTCAGATTATGTTTGGTCTTTAATCATATTTTAAACTTCTTTGCCTCATATGTGTCAGTTTTACTTTTCAATCAGCCGAGAAGTACCTTATAGTCTGTACCCCCTTCTCTCTTCACTGAGTACCCAGCTCTGCTAAGTGGTACAGACATGTGGGCTGGTTAATTGAAAATCTGAAGCCAGCCTTATCAGCAAAATGGTGTACGGTAGGGAGTTGAGAAAATTTCCAACATTCTGTGTGAGAAACTGATACTGGCCCTCATATCAGTTCCCCTACATTAAACCCAGAATATATGGAGTTAAAACCAAAGGCACTCATCCTCTTTCCCTCTTCTCTAAGTTACATTCATGTGTAACTATCAATTTTTTTTTGTATCCCTGAACTTCACAAGGCAAATAGAAGTTACTAATTGTTAAGAGCCCAGGTGGCCTCAAGCTGAGCTCGCACTGATGTTTTGGCTAATTACCAGTTTTTGAGGTTTGTTACAGGGAAACTGATATCAGGAAGCTAAAGCTTCTCAGACCTCAACTCCTTGGCTTCCTGGCGCCAGAATCCACCATCCACTACTGAGACAGAGACAGTTGAAGAACACCCACCTGCAATTCCCTCATCTGCCATCCTCCTCCCTGCCAGCAGCCTCACAAGGCCAAAGGCAGGCTGGTGGGAAAGTGGTGACCAGCAAGGCCACAGGCTCCCCCTCCCTACCAGCAGCCACATTTCTCACAACCTTGAAAACCCCTTGCCTCCCAACTTTCTGGGAGACGTCACCCGAAATAAAAACTCTTTCCTTGCCGTAAGCCTGGCATTCTAGTTTTATTTGGCCCCTCATGTGTGGTGGGTAAAGAACCTGGGTATGTATCCGGTAACAAAACTACTCTTCGTAACCCATCTCTGGGAAAGAGTTCTTTTTTTCTACAAATAAAGGTTTGTGGTTTTCCACATAATGTGCAAAATGCTAAGGGAAAGCATTTATATTTTCTAAATCAAAATATGTTTTTTAATATAAACAAAGATTCCCAGTAAATTTTAAAACTACCAAAGACAGACAAATAGCAGATGACTTTGACAGTAAAGTTTATTTTAAAAGTTTTAAAGTTACATTTATAATTTCATGCTATCAAAAACAGTAGAAAAAAATCTCTTTGGGAACACATAAAAGCATCTTAAAGGAAAAAAAATAAAGTCAGTGTTAAAAACCACAATATTTCTTTTTAAATTATGAGAATCTATTTGTACATAATAAATAAGTTTTAACCAGCAAGAAATTACTTTGTTAATATTGCCTGGTGAATTTTTGCTGTTTTGAGAAAAGACAGTCTTAACTCAGGATTCTGGCAATTCAACACAGCACTGCGTAACAGGGCTGGTGGTGACAACGCCAGGAGTCTCAAAAGCAGGATTGGCAGTTCAATGAAAATTTCAGATAAACAATGATGTATTCATATTAAAAAATTGTTCATTGTTTATCAGAAATAAAAATTAACTGGGTGTCCTGTCTGTTTCTTTTTTTTTTTTTAATTTTGCTAAATTTTGCTGATCAAAAGTTCTCTAATGTAACATCATTTAATACTTAAAATAAATATAAAATCACTCTAACATCATTGTACTATCCTATCAACAATACATCCTTTTTCACTTTTCCAAATTCATACATAAATATTATATTTGATGCTTAAATAAATATATAAATAATAAATAGGTGAATAAGTTACACTCGAAAATAATTTAAATGACCATGACAATAAGTTAAAGTGCTTCTACACATCCTCACATCTCTGTGAGAGAGGATCGTGGCGGAAGCTTTTTCTCGGTTTAGGATTAAAGAAGAAACTCAGGCTTAGTTGAGCAGGGACTCATGGTTCCAGGCCAGCAGACTAGGGTTGCAAGATTTAACAACAACAATGACAAAATACAGGATTTCCAGCTAAATTTGAACTTAAAGTAAACAATGAATAATTCTTTTTTCAATACAAGTGTGTCCTAGATACTGCATGAGACAATGAAAAAACTATTTATTATTTTATGAAATTCAAATCTAACTGAGCATCCTATATTTTATCGGACAACCCTACACCAGACCCACAGAGTACACGAAGCACAGAAGTAGATTTGTTTGAAGTTTCATTGGCATGTTCACTGAGGAATTCTTGGAAATCATAAAGGAGGGGTTGTTGTTTTTTTTAATGCATCTTGCATCTCAGCTCTGAAAATAAATAAAATAAAAATTAACAATATTCTAATAAGGAGGAAAGTATGGTTCTTGAAAATATATTTAATAAAGAAATTAATATATTCTTAGATATTCATGTGTTAGAAATTCTCTATATTTTCAACTCTAAATGGAGAGACCAGATAAGTTATCATCCAAACAATGACACTTCTGAGAAGGAAAGGAAGCCATACTAATGACTCAGGCACAGATATAAGTGCAGACTTCCCTGGACAGACTGACATGTATGGTCTTCCCAGTCATGAGAACAAAAAACTTACTTTTGCTGCTGTTTTTTTTTTTTTAAATCAAAGAGGCAGATATCTAAAAGAGAAGATTTTCAGCAGCGGGAAATTTATAGGCTGACTTTTAAACTGTATGTCTCAAGATAAATGAAGAATCTAAATTTAAGAAAGCCAACTTACCTCTTCAAAAATATCTGCACAATAATCTGCACCCACTGTAGTGTGGGGTCCAGGCAGACCTCTTGTCCATTGACAAGCTTTACACTGAAATGAGACAGAGATGATTAAAATTGATATTTAGCAGGTTTCACACATCCCTTTGCCATTCAAGTCACGGTTCCTTACATACAGGCAGAAAATCTCAGTTCAAAGCTATTTTAGTCATGGAAGGTACCATATTTAAATGTCATGCAGACAAAGAATTTTCCTCTCTGTTTTGCTCACTACTGTATTCTTAGTACCTAGAACTTTGTTGGATACTTCTACCTTCCTCAACTCTACGTTTGCTAAAGTAAAATATCTACTTAATTTTGGAAGTACTCACACGATCTCTGATTTTTCACAGTGCGGTCCACTCTCAATCACTCTCATTTCTCTGATCAATCTGGGATTGAAGGGTTTAGAGTGGGTACTTATGCACTGGCATCGAAGTTCTGCAGCAGTTCTTGATAGAACTGCAGCTGTAAAAAAAATAAAACCAATTAAGGACTGGTTTCATCTACTCCCTCTGCTCCGCTATCTACTCTTTCTTTAATTCCGGTATGATAATTTTGTAGCTGTGTGTTTGGTAAATATCACACCTTTAGCAAACTCATTCTTGAAATTGTAGGTTAGATATTCTCCTAGCCTCTGACCTCAATTTTTTTCTTTGTTTTAAAAACAGTCATGCCTGAAAACATTGAATTACTTTCTACATAAAGATTTGGAGTTGTCTTTGTGTGATGTTGACATCCTCATGGTACTTTAACTTCTACTTGATGTTGCATAATCCTCTGTGATACCACAAAGCTATTTATAGTAGGCAAATTAAGATTCACCAACAAGGAAATTGCCTTCAGAAAGAATAAATAGAAATATATAAGTGAGTTTCACAGAGACGTCTTATATCTTAGCAAAATCCTTAATGCTAAGAGAAAAGAAAAAATATAGAAACTATATACCATAAACATTCCAAACTGTATTTGTTTCATAGGAGGGACCCCCAGACGGTCCCTAATCCATCAGGGGTGTCTTTAAACCAAACAAGAATTGACAGTTGTCTGGTGTGTCAATAAAATAGTACATGGAGTAAAATTATCTGAGTTACCTTGCTCAATATTAATAGACAATAAGATAATAAGGGTAACTGTGGCCCCCAATAAGATATACTCTAAATTATAGGTTTATATTAAATATATGCTTACTACAGAATATGAACAATAGGAACAGAGTGTCTATATTAATCAAAGTTTATACTTTTCTAAGTGTTGTATAGATACATCCTAAAAAATTAAAACTTCAATTTGACATGAAATGACTACAAAGATTATTTTCTTTTCTTTAAAAAAAATGTTTGTTATCAAAGCCTTAAGGATAATCTTGCTATCTGAGGATCACATTTAGACACAAGAAAACTCGGTAGATCAGAAAGATGTGCTCACCTTCACACAGAGCTCCAGAAAGCAGGAAGACTGCCAAGAAAGCCACAGCCAGCTTGGAAGTCATGTTTACACGAGGTGCTGTCTTTCCGGTGGTTTCTTACTGGCTCTTGTCCTAGACGCTTGCGTCTCTGCTGTCCCTGAGGACTTGTGTTGGACAGGGAGGCCCTGTGGCTTTTTATACTATCTCAACCGTGGAGAATATGTGCACCCTCATCCTTGCATTATGTCAGAGGAAATTCCACAATATGCAATCAATCACCCGCCCTTTGAGAGCAGACCTGAGTCATCGGGCTCCTCAGATTGGTCTCTTATCAAATTTTCAGCATGATTGAAGTTTTATTTGATCTTTAAAATAAATTAATTTTATTTAAAAACATGTTTATTTTAAAACATGTTTAAAAATAATTTTTAAATATTCAAGCCTCTCAGTATGATAAATTATCATCAGTTGTATTCCTTTTTATTTGTAAATAATTTTGTCATAGTACCATCTGGCAGGTGTTAGAGTGAGGTCATTTATGATTATTCTTTTACGGCACAATCATTTCCTTAAGTAAATTATATGTGTTGTAATGATACGGAAGATAATCTGGTCAAGCATTTTTCTTAGGGACACAAGTTATGAGAAGTCCTTTTCTAAGCATTTTGGAGAGTTTTCAGGAACTATTAGTGCTCTCAAGGAGCATATTACAACTTTTCAAAAGATTTGGTGTTCTAATGTGTGTTTAACAGAATGAAAAGTCATACCTGCCATACAAAGAAAGAGTTCAGTCCACAAACATTTATAAAGTAACTTCTGAGTAATGTGGGGGATCTAGAGATGGATAAGACTAAGTGCTTTTCTTAAAGAGTTTGGTCTATCAGAAGAAAACAATATAAGGACCTGACTGTATTACAAGTAGATAAGTGGTACCAAGATATTAATTCCCAGAGGGGACAAAAGGGCAGAATCTTCCATAAGCAGTTCAAGCAGGGTGTTGAAGGGTGGGAGGACTTTAACAGAGGAAGATGAAGGGAAACAACACATTCTAGACAGGGACAGCACATTCTGTTCAAAGACGCTCAACTGGTAAAAACATGGTATATTTATGCTCCGGGATATGGTTCACTTGGGCTCCTTGGTTGGGCTGGGAATGAGGTGGTATCTAATGAAACGGTAAGCAGTCTATCCTTAGTGGAAAGAGCATCAGGGTTCAAACTCTCATTCAGCCATCTAATTTTTGTGTGGCTTTTAAACTTTCCGAGTTCCAGTTTCCATATCTTTAAAAAGAGTTTAACACCTGCCTGTCTCATAAAGTTAATATACATAAACTTTCTGGTTTCACTTTTAAACTGGTGAATTCTCATCTACCCCAGGAGCTATGGCTTATATTTCTCATTTTTTTCAGATGATTGACTTCCACACTGCTAAGATATTCAATCAACAATTATTTCCTAAAATCTCATTTGCCTTAGAGGCATTCTTGATGAAAGATTGGCTTTTGGCAAACCAAGTTAAGCCAAATTTTGGCATGGAATAATCACAATATAATAAAATAGAAACATCATTTTAAGTTATGGTTTGCTAAAATTAAAGCTCCGGATCAAAATCAGATTGTATTAAAATCCAAGTTGCCCTTTTAAAATGAATATCTGGAGTATGGAGAGCTTTAAAATCTATAGACTTCCAAAACACTTGTGGAAATAACTAGTTTAAATATTGATATAGGAGGTAAATTCTTTGACAAAAAATTATTGAAAATTAGACAAAGAGTAATCGTTTCAGAATGTGAAGATTTGTGGTTTGAGGGGAAAATTTCCTTTGCTGAAAGATTTGTGTAGTGACCCCAGTCAACTTCTTAAATATCACTTCAATTTACTTGATATCAGGGTCACTGGTCTGTGTGTGTGTGTGTGTGTGTGTGTGTGTGTGTATAAATTTAATCCTCACAATGAGATGAGTAGTAATGTCCTCATTTCACAAATGAGGAAACTCAACAATGTCTCCAAGTTCACATATCTAAGTAGTGGTGGAGCTGATGGTTCAAAGATTTACTAGTTTTAGCCCTGGCCTAAAACCACATTCCAAAAGGGGATTTGAAAGGACTTTTCTTCAGGACACTAGGACATAAAGTCATCATTTTATGACTCAGTGAGCACCTTGTGGGTCCTCAGAGATTAGTCTGGGTTTCCTTGGATAAAGAACACTAAGGAAGGGACCTTACGATAGTAAAAATCTATTCATCTCTGGGAAAGTTCACAATTTACAAAGAATTCAGCTTGATTCAACATCTTTCTTCTTTCCCAGGAAGCTTGAGAAAGCAGTGAGCTCTTCCACACAAGTGTGTATGGAGGGAGAATGCCATGTTTGAGTGCTTTCTAAGATGGTTATTTGTTTTGTGAGCAATCATGTTTCTTTCTTTTTCTTCCTCCAACCAACCTAAGACTTGAAGACAAAATAGTACTTGAGTTGACATCACCTTCTATAGCAAAGTAAATGTTTATTTTATATAATGCAGTTTCTATTGTTTTTAACTCTACTATTTTATGAACTGGATTGTTTATTTATTTATTTAACATGTATTGATTATCTGCTAATGTATTGTAGTAGATGTGAATACTATGTAAATAAGATATAGCCTCTGACTTCAAGGAGTCTAGCGCAGGATATGGACAATTAGTGATACAAGCAAGTAAGATACAGCAATAGATGTTATAATACAGATCGTTACAGGAAGCTCTGGGAGCATACGAACAGGATCTCTGATACAGTTTGGATAAATGGAGGTTTTCTGAAGAACCAGCTTCAAAATGGTGGCTTAATATTCATGATGAGTAGGAGTAAGACCGACGGGCTGGGGAGAAGGGGTGACTGCATTGCTAATGGAGGGAAAAGCAAGTATAAAGCAATGAGGTATAAGAGAACATAGCCCATTTGGGTTCCTGAAATTGTTCAGCATGTATGGAAAACAGTGTACAGAATAAATAGAGGAAAATGTTGGGGCCAGAGATGTAAACAAAATCTCAATCTTAAAAAAAATTCACAGTCTCTTCGCTTCAATGATATTGGTATGTTCAGTGAAGATATTCTCATATGGACAGACCCTGCCATGACTGGTTCAGTCCATCATCATTAAAACCCAATAATACTAGTGGCACTAAGAGCTCTTAGGAGTTCTCAGAGTTCTGAGGATTTTCCAACACTCCTCTACTTTTCCCTCAGGGTTGCAGTTATATTTTTGCTGAGTCCCACTTACATAGGCAGCTCATTTCTCTCCCTCTTCCACCTCCTCATCTCCCTCCCGTCCTCCTCTCAGGGTCTCAACTGCATCCTGACATTATCCTTAGAGTTTGAGCTAGTGAGTTTCATTTGACCTAGATGTTCATTTTTTTTTAGAGTGGAGCATTTATCTATAAGAGAAAATGACCTCTTTGCAAATGTTGTTCATCTCTCACAATGTAACCTTGATGCACACTGTCATAGGATCCTCTCTGTCAGAGGTGAGGATGGACAAAGACAAAGTGACTAGAGGGGGCAGTAATTTTGGTCTTGTACCCTTTCTGTAAAGGTAGCCCTTTGAGTCATTGCATACTGCATAGAAGGACTAAATGGGGTTAAGTAGGGAAGAGGGGCTATGATCTGTTTGAGGACACGCTGCTTCAAAATAGAGCAGAGTGGAGTGAAAAGTTTAACTGAAGAGCATAGCTGCACATAAACGTAAATGTTTAGTCACCCTCTAGAGATGAGTGCAGAGTTCATGGGACTGTCAACCACTGAGCTGTTTATTTGAGTTCCAACCAGTTCCTGAGATATGAGGAGCACTTAACACACACAGAGGAGCACCCAGAGATGTTCACTAAAGCCATGGGACCAAGTCGATCATCCAAGAAAGGGAAGAACTCAAGAAAGAGCCAAGACAAAGATAGCCATTTACTTTTTCCACATGGATACATAACTCTTCTTCTTACATCAAATTGCTCGCAGGAAAACTGAGTGTCTTTACAGTATGTTGAACTGACTAAACCTCTACACACACACACACACACACACACACACTTCAAATAGGTATTTTAGAATTAGGGCTTTTTTGTAAGCCCAAACAAAATTATACTACACAACAAAGCGGAATGTAGTGGGAAAAATGTAGGCTTTGAAGTGAGATGAACTCAGGTTTGAATCTTGTCCCATGCTTATCAACCAAGAGACCTTGAGCAAGCTGATTCTACGCCAATGTCGCAACTACTGCTGAGCCACCTCTTCCAGTCCCAGTGGTAAAGTCTCAACTCTCACCTGGATTTTTTTTCTCCCTTTGATGAAATTAGTCACATTTTAGCAATCTTCAAGGTTAAGAGAACCATAGACAAAATGCTGAACATGTATCAATGAGTTTGACTTACAGTGTTGTTAATGCTATGATCATTAAGATAAAATACCTGCTCCCTGAAATTTTAGTCAGTAAAACTCAGAGTTAGCTGAAAGATTTAAAACATGTTCTTAGTTTTTACAGATAAAAAATATTTATCCAAACTTTGTTAACGTTATAACTTAATCTGCTCCAGTGCATCAAGGACATTTCAGTTTCATTTCCAAATTCAAATATTTCTGGTTAACAATTTGGAAAAATACTAAGCAGAGTTGGTCCATGCTGCTAAAAGTGTCCTACCTTCTAAAGAAAAGACATTTTCTGAAGTCTTGACAAGTTGGAGAATCAGAGCTAAATACGTTGGTTTTGAGCAATGTTAAGTCAAAATAACTAAAATCTAAGGGTATGCATGTGTGTTGGAATAAGACAAAACTGCCTTCAAGCCCAGCTCCACCACTTACTAACTAAACAACCATGGGGAGTTTTTAAAATCTCGTTGAGTCTCAGTTTCCTCATCTGTAAAATGAGAAAAACACCAGTTCCATAGGATCACAGTGAGAGCTAAACGAGGAAATATGAGGAAAACGCCAAGAGTGGTGCTTGGCACATAGGAGGTGCTCAGTTAATGTCAGTTTTCCTCCCCTATAATCTGTCACTCAAGTCACACTCAGCTTTACCTGGAGTGGGAGAACCACATTTTTTTTAAAGCTTACCAACCAAAAAGTAAAGATTTATTGACACAATAGATCTCTTAAAGCTTACATCCAGCTGCTTATTTTTCTTCCAATTGTAGAGCTTTCTTTTTTATGCCTA